TGGGCCAATAAGTCTGCAGTTTCCTCTACTCTTATGATCTTATTTCGATTTGGTGGTAACTTACGCCAATTTTCCACCTCCCTTCCCCTATCTCCTTCTTCTGTGTGTTTTCCTTACCATCCTCTTGGTTTATTTATTTTTCTCTCGCTGTTTTATCATCTTTCCATCCTCTCTCTCTCTCTCCATCTTGGCTCCCGTGTCCACCTTGACTTGGTGAACACAGCAAAGGCGCCTGGAATTCGGCTTAACTAAATTATTTACATTTTGTCTTGGGAATGTCAACATTGCCGTGGAGAATGAGGGCGGTGGTGCCACTGGTGGGGTGAGGGAGGGGGGCTTCACTGGCATTAAAGGGCTTCACCGGGAGGGAAGGGCTTCACTGGGAGGGAAGGGCTTCACTGGGAGGGAAGGGCTTCACTGGGAGGGAAGGGCTTCACCGGGAGGGAAGGGCTTCACTGGGAGGGAAGGGCTTCACTGGGAGGGAAGGGCTTCACCAGGGCTTCACTGGCAGGGAAGGGCTTCACTGGGAGGGAAGGGCTTCACTGGGAGGGAAGGGCTTCACTGGCAGGGAAGGGCTTCACTGGGAAGGGCTTCACCGGGAGGGAAGGGCTTCACTGGGAGGGAAGGGCTTCACTGGGAGGGAAGGGCTTCACTGGGAGGGAAGGGCTTCACTGGCAGGGAAGGGCTTCACCGGGAGGGAAGGGCTTCACTGGGAGGGAAGGGCTTCACTGGGAGGGAAGGGCTTCACTGGGAGGGAAGGGCTTCACTGGCAGGGAAGGGCTTCACTGGGAGGGAAGGGCTTCACCGGGAGGGAAGGGCTTCACTGGGAGGGAAGGGCTTCACCGGGAGGGAAGGGCTTCACTGGGAGGGAAGGGCTTCACCGGGAGGGAAGGGCTTCACTGGGAGGGAAGGGCTTCACTGGCAGGGAAGGGCTTCACTGGCAGGGAAGGGCTTCACCGGGAGGGAAGGGCTTCACTGGGAGGGAAGGGCTTCACTGGGAGGGGTAGGGAAGAAGCCTTCATTGGGAGGGGGTTGGAAGAAGGATTTCCATGAGAGAGTTTTGGAACGGGGGTTTCAATGGGGGGGGGGAGGGACGTTGACGCTACTGGAATATGGGAGGGAGAACCACGGGAAATAGAATATGAGAAAGTAAAGATAAGGGAGGGAGTCGCCACGGCGAGAAGGTAGATGGAAGGGGGGGGGGGTACCGCAAGGATAGAGTCGGAAAAGAAGAAGGGGGGTACGCCCCTCCTGCTCTCTCTCTCGCTCTCTCTCATGTAACATTCACTAACCGGTGAAAGTGTACCCTGGAAAATTTTCCCTTTTTTCTAATCCTTTTTTTTCTTTCAGCTGAGAAAGAAATGAGAGGGTGTCGTGCCTCTGGGCGTCACCTCTGGGAATGTCCTGACGCAGTTCTCCGACTCAGAGAGCTGGGAAATATAGTTCTGGAGCTTTAAGGGCGAAGAGACCCCCAGAACTTGAAACTTTAATTCCATGACCTAAAAGTTAACATTCTCTAAGCTTCCCGGAACGAGACGATACGGACTTAAGACACCTGAACTATGGAATAAGATTCTGAGACTTCCAGTATCATTAGAATCGCCAATAAGACTTATGGGAACTGGGGAATTATTCATGAAATACACAGGATCAAGACAGTCATCAACATGACCCCCACAGGACCAGGAGAATCATACATATGACTCACAACCCCAGGAGAATCAAGAAGATTCCTAAAATCAGGAAATCATCAATAAAACTCACAGGATCAAGAAAAAGAAGGCTCACCTTCAAGACTCTCTGGGCTAGTAGACTGAGCCCTAAGACTTCTAAGGACAGGACACTAAATAATAAAACTATTCAGTGCCAGCAGAGTCTCAGAGGAAAGTTTCCCAAGACCAGAAGGCTGTTTCCTAAGACTTCTACACAGTCTTCTACACACGGAGCATAGCGTCCCCATGGCCCAGTCCTCGATCAGGCCCCCGGACCTTTCAATTGATAAGTGATAATTTGATAATAATAACTTCCAGGGCCACAACCCGTTCTCGCACTTTCTTACAGTCAATATTGACTTATTAAATACGTGCGTATGTGACATACTAAACATACTAGTTTACCTTGAAAAGCTTCATAGAAAACACCGACCTTCCCTCACCTTCTTAGTATGTTAAGATAAGCATCTTATTGCTTCGTAATTACAATTATTACTTAACCTATACCTATAATAGGTTAAGTAGTAATTGTAATTACGAAGCAATAAGATGCTTATCTTAACATACTAAGAAGGTTAGGTAAGATCGGTGTTTTCTATGAAGCTTTTCAAGGTAAACTAGTATGTTTAGTATGTCACATACGCACGTATTTAATAAGTCAATATTGACTATACGAAAGTGCGAGAACGGGTTGAGGGCCTCAAGGCCTAGTTCCGTGAGTCCAACATGGAGACATACTCTTGTGGCTCTTATGGTGTTCAGTCAGTCTTGGCCATGTTTTTGAAGGGTGTGTGTATGTGTACTCACCTATTTGCATTCACCTACTTGTGCCTGCAGGATCGAGCTCTAGCTCTTGGACCCCGCTCTTCTAGCCGTTGGTTGTCTAATACAATGACTCCTGGCCTATTTATCTGTCATTCCTGCTTTTAGAGTTATGAATGGAGTAAGCCTCTACAACCTGCTCCTTTAGGTAATTCCATTTACTCACTACCCTTAAGCTAAGAGAAAACTTTCTAACATCTCTATGACACATCTGAGTCTCAAACTTCCGTCCGTGTCCCCCTTGTTCTATTGTTATTCATTGTAAACATTTCCTCTCTTTCCACCTTGTCAATCCCTCAATGTGTACTCACCTAGTTGTACTCACCTAGTTGCGTTTGCGGGGGTTGAGCTCTAGCTCTTTGGTCCCGCCTTTCAACTGTCAATCAAATGATGTACAGATTCCTGAGCCTACTGGGCTCTATCATATCTACATTTCAAACTGTGTATAGTCATCCTTCACCACATCACTACCTAATGCATTCCATCTGTTAACTACTCTGACACTGAAAAAGTTCTTTCTGACGTTCCTGTGGCTCATTTGGGTACTCAGTTTCCACCTGTGTCCCCTTGTTCGCGTACCATCCGTGTTAAACAGTTTATCCTTTTCAACCCTGTCAATTCCTCTGAGAATATTGCAGGTTGTGATCATGTCTTCCCTTACTCCTCTGTCTTCCAGTGTCGTGAGGTGCATTTCCCGCAGCCTTTCCTCGTAAATCATGCCTCTTAGTTCTGGGACTAGCCTAATGGCATATCTTTAAACTTTTTCCAGCTTCATCTTGTGCTTGACAAGGTACGGGCCCGGTCCTCGACCAGGCCTCCACTCCCAGGAAGCAGCCCGTAGCAGCTGTCTAACTCCCAGGTGGCTATTTACTGCTAGGTAACAGGGTCATCAGAGTGAAAGAAACATTTTGCCCATTTGTCTCCGCTTCCACCGGGGATAGAACCCGGAACCACAGGACTACGAATCCGAAGTGCTGTCCACCCAGCTGTCAGGCGCCCTAGACTTTTCTCTCTGTCTGTTTCATGAATGCTTCATCTCTCATTCTGTATCCTGTGTCTGGCCTGCTATTTCCGCCGTCAAGCTTCATTACCTTACATTTACTCGGGTTGAACTTTAGAAGCCACTTGTTAGACCATTCATTCAGTTTGTCTAAGTCCTCTTGTATCCTCCTACTATCTTCCTCTATCTTAATCCTCCTCGTATTTTTTACATCATCAGCAAACAATGAGAAGAACGATTCTATACCCTCTGGGAGATCATTTACATATATCAGAAACAGTATAAGTCCAGGGACTGACCCCCTGCGGGACTCCGCTGGTGACATCTCGCCAGTCTGAGACCTCACCCCTCACAGTGACTCGAGGTCTTCTGTTGCTTAGGTACTCCCTTATCCAATGGAGTACCTTCCCTTTCACTCCTGCTTGCATCTCCAGCTTTTGCATTAAGCTCTTGTGTGGTACTGTGTCAAAGGCTTTCTGGCAATCCAAAAATATGCAGTCTGCCAAACCCTCTCTATCTTGCCTGATTCTTGTTGCCTGGTCGTAGAATTCAATTAACCCTGTGAGGCAGGACTTGCCATCCCTGAACCCATGTTGATACTGTGTTACAAAGTTCTTTCGCTCCAGATGTTCCTGATGCTCTCAGTGTATCTAGTGTGTGTGTGTGTGTGTGTGTGTGTGTGTGTGTGTGTGTGTGTGTGTGTGTGGTGTGTGTGTGTGTGTGTGTTTGTGTGTGTGTGTGTGTCTAATAAAGAGAGCGAGAGACATATGAACACTTGATCGGTCAGCCAAGTTAAGCCAACTTTGGGTGAGGCCAGTAACTAGATAGGTACCCATAGGGGGGGGGGACTTTCAAGCTTCCGCCCCCCCCCCCCACCCCTCCCCTCACCCCACCACCACATACAGAGTCCTCCATAACAGACTTAAACATTATATAACAAAAATAATATCCCACCCTAAAAAAAAATAATTCAATAAAATCATTCAAATTGAAACATTACAATATAATTACCCACTACAAAAAAATACATATTTAATTCTAAAAATCCCCCCCCCCCCCACAGACTTGAACTACCAATCACCGCATTATAAATATCCATAACGCAATATACCCGATTTGCATAACCAATTTCCTCACGCCTAAAAATAACTGCCTTTTATGTCGTTTTCTCAGCCTTTTTTTTTTTTACCTTTTTGGGCCTTTTTTTTTATTTTGTTATTGATGTGGTCCCGATTCTCGCATTTTCAAGAAATTTGTCATGCTATGGTTGGGTAATTAATCGTGTTTTTTTTTTTATTTTTTTTTTCCTCCTTTGAGATTTTGTATTTTGTGGATGTCTTGGTGACTTGGTGTCTTGGTGTCTTGGTGACTTGGTGTCTTGGTGACTTGGTGACTTGGTGACTTGGTGTCTTGGTGTCTTGGTGACTTGGTGTCTTGGTGACTTGGTGACTTGGTGGCTTGGTGACTTAGTGACTTGGTGGCTTGGTGTCTTGGTGACTTGTTGACTTGGTGATTTGGTGTCTTGGAGACTTGGTGTCTTGGTGATGTGGTGACTTGGTGTCTTGGTGACTTGGTGACTTGGTGACTTGGTGTCTTGGTGTCTTGGTGTCTTGGTGACTTGGTGACTTGGTGATTGGTGTCTTGGTGACTTGGTGTCTTGGTGACTTAGTGACTTGGTGGCTTGGTGTCTTGGTGACTTGGTGATTTGGTGACTTGGTGGCTTGGTGACTTGGTGACTTGGTGATTTGGTGACTTGGTGGCTTGGTGACTTGGTGGCTTGGTGTCTTGGTGACTTGGTGATTTGGGGACTTGGTGGCTTGGTGTCTGGTGATGTGGTGACTTGGTGTCCTGGTGGCTTGGTGTCTTGGTGACTTGGTGTCTTGGTGACTTGGTGACTTGGTGACTTGGTGTCTTGGTGTCTTGGTGACTTGGTGACTTGGTGACTTGGTGTCTTGGTGACTTAGTGACTTGGTGGCTTGGTGTCTTGGTGACTTGGTGATTTGGTGTCTTGGTGACTTGGTGTCTTGGTGACTTGGTGACTTGGTGACTTGGTGACTTGGTGACTTGGTGTCTTGGTGACTTGGTGTCTTGGTGACTTGGTGACTTGGTGACTTGGTGTCTTCGTGTCTTGGTAACTTGGTGTCTTGATGACTTGGTGTCTTGGTGACTTGGTGACTTGGTGACTTGGTGGCTTGGTGTCTTGGTGACTTGGTGATTTGGTGACTTGGTGGCTTGGTGACTTGGTGACTTGGTGACTTGGTGATTTGGTGACTTGGTGACTTGGTGACTTGGTGTCTTGGTGACTTGGTGACTTGGTGTCTTCGTGTCTTGGTAACTTGGTGTCTTGATGACTTGGTGTCTTGGTGACTTGGTGACTTGGTGACTTGGTGTCTTGGTGACTTGGTGTCTTGGTGACTTGGTGTCTTGGTGACTTGGTGACTTAATATCACCAAGACACAAATTAGGCCTGATTAAATACTAATAAGGCCTATTTCTTAAACCTAAATAAATATATATGTGTGTACTATATAAGGCCTAGTAAAGGCTCAATTTTATTATAGGGGTTTGTGACAGTTCATATTTTGTACACTTCATCCAGTCTCCATGGATACTGTCCCCCTGTTTGGAGGATATGTTGAGTAAACTATATGTCTAAACTAGAGCATCCGGACAAGGTCAATACTAGAGCTTCCGGACAAGGTCAATAACCAATGTGAACATGACTGAGGAAGGGAGAGAGAGAGAGAGAGAGAGAGAGAGAGAGAGAGAGAGAGAGAGAGAGAGAGAGAGAGAGAGAGAGAGAGAGAGAGAGAGAGAGAGAGAGAGAGAGAGAGAGAGAGAGAGAAAATGTGTCTATGTACTCACCTAGTTGTGCTTTCAAAAGTTGAGCTTCGGCTCTTTGGTCCCGCCTCTCAACTGTCGCTCAACATGTGTGTGTGTGTGTGTGTGTGTGTGTGTGTGTGTGTGTGTGTGTGTGTGTGTGTGTTCAATTTTTTTTACCTGTATTCATTAGATCTTGTTAGTTTGCAAAGTTTTCAATGTTATTATGCATAACTTTCTTATTTTGATCAGTTTTTATCGACGATGTTCCTATGTTGTTTTTATTAATGAGCGATTGCTCGCTTCATTGAAATAAATAATTGTTTATTTTTCGATTAAATGAATTCGTATCTATAAAGAAAAATGTTTGTCTGGTTTAGGAGGCCAGATGCTAAGGTCTAGCCTCCTTCAAATTTCCGTGATGACACAGGTGGCGGGGAGATGGGGTACATGAGTACCATATGCCAGTATGTTTTGGCCCCAGTGCCACCTTTTAAGAAATATCGGCATCTATGGCGACCCCCTTCTGCTATTTTCAAGAACTCTGCCATCGGGGATTTGTTTTCAGTAAACTGTTTACTTCCGCCATATACCCGCCCATTTTCATGATTTTTGGAAGGTTTTTCAGTGCATCGTAATATTACATTTTTTAAGAGATGGGGAGAGGAGGAGAGGGGGAATGTTGGGGAGAGGGAAGGTGGGAAGGCAGGTGAGAGATGGAGAAAAATGGTGAAGGGGAAGGGTGGGATAGGTGAGAGAAGAGGGAGATGGATCACTCCCCCCTCCATCACCTCTCCCTCTCCCTCCACCTAATCGCTCCCCATCCGTTCTACCCCTCCCCTTCTCCAATCCAACCACCACCCATCCATCCATCCATCCATCCATCCACCCCCATACCCCGCATCCACTCCATCCATCAATCCCTCCTAGCCTCACCGCCCGGGGACGAGGGCAAGGATTGGGGGTCACGGGACTCGTGCCAGTGAATGGTTGGGCAGTTAATCTGATTCCAATCACCAATTCCCTCTCCTGGGAAATCATTCAACCCTTTTCGCAGGACTGGCTTGGATTAGCTTCATATATATATATTTTTTTTATTTTGTGTGTGTGTGAGTGTATGTGTGCGTGTGTGTGTGTGTGTGTGTGTGTGTGTTATCCCGTGATGAAATAGGAAGCGATGTGCGGAGGTTTGTGAAACGATGGTTTGTGTTAGTGAAGCTTTGTGGCGTCGGTTTGTGGCGGTGAAGGGCTTGATGGTGGTGGTTTTTGGCTTGTCTTTATCTAGTGGCAGTTCTAGCCGGTGTGCGTGGTTAGGTTAGGGAAGGTTAGGTTAGGTTAGGTTAGGGAAGGTTAGGTTAGGTTAAAAGTTGTGGTTTGTCATCCTGAATTTCCATGTGGTTATGGTAGTTTTTTTTGCGAGTGTTTTAAGCGATGGTGTTTAGTTGGAATGGTTTATAAATGGTGGTATTTTATGACCCCTGGTGTTTCACTGAGAGGGATGTTATTGAGAGTAGTTATTGTTCGAAGTGGTGGTGGTGGCTTTTGCATTGTTGTGGTTTGTGTTGATGGTTTGATGCGGAATTGGCTTGTTAGTAGTTTATAGATCATTTCAATACAGTCATTAGAGGAGGGGGTGAGACTTATCAGGCGCAAGCGCCTATAGCCATTACGACCATATAGCACTTGGAAGGGGGTCGGGATAAGGATTTGGGATGGGATGGGGCCGGGGGGGGTGGATAGTGTTCTATCCATTATCAATCACGGCAAGTCTTTCTAACATCCTCCAACATCCCAACAAGCCTTTCCAACATTACAGCAAATTATTGCGATGTTATCTTACTCAAGAAGAAAGTTATTTTCTAGATTCTCTAGCATCAGAGCAAGTTATTGCTATATTCTGCAACAGCACAGCAAGTTATTGCAATATTCTGCAACAGCACAGCAAGTTATTGCAATATTCTGCAACAGCGCAGCAAGTTATTGCAATATTCTGCAACAGCACAGCAAGTTATTGCAATATTCTGCAACAGCACAGCAAGTTATTGCAATATTCTGCAACAGCACAGCAAGTTATTGCGAAATTCTCCCGGGATTTACTGTGCTCTGAGTGATGATGCTTCTGACTTAATGGCTGCTGTGATGGCGGCCTTGCTCATTGATGATCTCTGTCATCACTAATGCAATGGAAATCAAGAATAACTAAGACGTGTGTGGTGTGTGTGTGTGTGTGTGTGTGTGTGTGTGTGTGTGTGTGTGTGTGTGTGTGTGTGTGTGTGTGGTGTTAATTACACGTGAGTGCCATATGGCTCAGATTAAGATGGTTATGCATTTATAGCGCCCGAGTGCGCTGAGTGCGCTGAGTATTAGTGTATTATGAGGACTGTGTGCGTGCACTCTTGACATGTTGAGCTCCGGCTTCTGGGCCCCCCCTCGTTTGTTCGCTTTAAGTTGTTTAATGTAAGGTTTCTCTGATGACCGAACCACTTATCAGAAGATGGTTGAAACGACGAAGGAAGTTTCAGTCCGTCCTGGACCATTGTCAAGTCCCGTGAAGACTTGATAATGGGTCCAGGACGGATCGAAACGTTGTCGTTTCATCATATTCTGATGTGTGAGGTTTGGTCTTAATATCTTCAGTCACGTTATTGTAACTCATTGTCTGCATAGATTTTCTCTGCCATTTAGTGTGTAGAAAAAGCATACCATACATGGCAAGCTTTTTAACTCTGCTGAGTGACGTGTTGGGCGGGATGAGTGTGTGTTTGTGTGGGCCTCTGTGAGTGTTTGTGTGGGCCTCTGTGAGTGTTTGTGTGGGCCTCTGTGAGTGTTTGTGTGGGCCTCTGTGAGTGTTTGTGTGGGCCTCTGTGAGTGTTTGTGTGGGCCTCTGTGAGTGTTTGTGTGGGCCTCTGTGAGTGTTTGTGTGGGCCTCTGTGAGTGTTTGTGTGGGCCTCTGTGAGTGTTTGTGTGGGCCTCTGTGAGTGTTTGTGTGGGCCTCTGTGAGTGTTTGTGTGGGCCTCTGTGAGTGTTTGTGTGGGCCTCTGTGAGTGTTTGTGTGGGCCTCTGTGCGTGTTTGCGTGTCCTTGTGTGTGTGTGTGCTTGTTTAAATATTTCCGTGTGTGTTCTTGCGTGCTTTTGTGGGTGTGAGCCTGCCTCTTGTGTAGCTTTTTCTGTGTACTCACCTAGTTGTACTCACCTAGTTGTGTTTGCGGGGGTTGAGCTCTGACTCTTTGGTCCCGCCTCTCAACCGTCAATCAACAGGTGTACAGGTTCCTGAGCCTATTGGGCTTTATCATATCTACACTTGAAACTGTGTATGGAGTCAGCCTCCACCACATCACTTCCTAATGCATTCCATTTGTCAACCACTCTGACACTAAAAAAGTTCTTTCTAATATCTCTGTGGCTCATTTGGGCACTCAGTTTCCACCTGTGTCCCCTTGTGCGTGTTCCCCTTGTGTTAAATAGACTGTCTTTATCTACCCTATCAATTCCCTTCAGAATCTTGAATGTGGTGATCATGTCCCCCCTAACTCTTCTGTCTTCCAGCGAAGTGAGGTTTAATTCCCGTAGTCTCTCCTCGTAGCTCATACCTCTCAGCTTGGGTACTAGTCTGGTGGCAAACCTTTGAACCTTTTCCAGTTTAGTCTTATCCTTGACTAGATATGGACTCCATGCTGGGGCTGCATACTCCAGGATTGGCCTGACATATGTGGTATACAAAGTTCTGAATGATTCTTTACACAAGTTTCTGAATGCCGTTCGTATGTTGGCCAGCCTGGCATATGCCGCTGATGTTATCCGCTTGATATGTGCTGCAGGAGACAGGTCTGGCGTGATATCAACCCCCAAGTCTTTTTCCTTCTCAGACTCCTGAAGAATTTCCTCTCCCAGATGATACCTTGTATCTGGCCTCCTGCTCCCTACACCTATCTTCATTACATTACATTTGGTTGGGTTAAACTCTAACAACCATTTGTTCGACCATTCCTTCAGCTTGTCTAGGTCTTCTTGAAGCCTCAAACAGTCCTCTTCTGTTTTGTGTGTGTGTACTCACCTAATTGTGCTTGCGGGGGTTGAGCTCTGGCTCTTTGGTCCCGCCTCTCAACCGTCAATCAACTGGTGTACAGATTCCTGAGCCTATTGGGCTCTATCATATCTACATTTGAAACTGTGTATGGAGTCAGCCTCCACCACATCACTTCCTAATGCATTCCATTTACTAACTACTCTGACACTGAAAAAGTTCTTTCTAACGTCTCTGTGGCTCATTTGGGTACTCAGCTTCCACCTGTGTCCCCTTGTTCGCGTCCCACCAGTGTTGAATAGTTCATCCTTGTTTACCCGGTCGATTCCCCTGAGGATTTTGTAGGTTGTGATCATGTCCCCCTTACTCTTCTGTCTTCCAGTGTCGTAAGGTGCATTTCCCGCAGCCTTTCCTCATAACTCATGCCTCTTAGTTCTGGGACTAGTCTAGTAGCATACCTTTGGACTTTTTCCAGCTTCGTCTTGTGCTTGACAAGGTACGGGCTCCATGCTGGGGCCGCATACTCCAGGATTGGTCTTACATATGTGGTGTACAAGATTCTGAATGATTCCTTACACAGGTTCCTGAACGCCGTTCTGATGTTAGCCAGCCTCGCATATGCCGCAGACGTTATTCTCTTTATGTGGGCTTCAGGAGACAGGTTTGGTGTGATATCAACTCCTAGATCTTTCTCTCTGTCTGTTTCATTAAGTACTTCATCTCCTATTCTGTATCCTGTGCCTGGTCTCCTGTTTCCACTGCCTAGTTTCATTACTTTGCATTTACTCGGGTTGAACTTCAACAGCCATTTGTTGGACCATTCACTCAGTCTATCCAGGTCATCTTGTAGCCTCCTACTATCATCCTCTGTTTCAATCCTCCTCATAATTTTTGCATCGTCGGCAAACATTGAGAGGAACGAATCTATACCCTCTGGGAGATCATTTACATATACCAGAAACAGTATAGGTCCAAGGACTGACCCCTGCGGGACTCCACTTGTGACGTCTCGCCAATCTGAGACCTCACCCCTCACACAGACTCGTTGTCTCCTGTTGCTTAGGTACTCCTCTATCCACCGGAGTACCTTCCCTTTCACTCCAGCCTGCATCTCCAACTTTCGCACTAGTCTCTTGTGTGGCACTGTATCAAAGGCTTTCTGACAATCCAAACACACACAATGTGTGTGTGTGTGTGTGTGTGTGTGTGTGTGTGTGTGTGTGTGTGTGTGTGTGTGTGTGTGTGTGTGTGTGTGTGTGTGTGTGTGTGTGTGAGCGTATCTGTGTGTGTGTGTTTTGCATGTCTGTGCGCGCCAATGTATGGTTAAGGGGGACTGACTCTAAACTGGCCCCAGATTCACTGTCCGCTCAACTGTGGTCCAATCAATCTCCATCAGCGTCACAACTCTCTTTTTTCCTATTTCGGCTCCCCTCGTCCCGAACACTCGGTGTGTGTGTACTATACCTTTACACAAATGCCTTACACCTTCTTTAAGAAGAGTTAGCGTCTGTTACAGGTGTATCAGTGGAAACACACTTGGCGTTACAGAAACCTAGATTAGTCATCATCCATCATTAGTCCACGTCAGCATTTTAGCTGGGTGCCCTGACGTACGCGCGCGCGTGCGTGTGTGTGTGTGTGTGTGTGTGTGTGTGTGTGTGTGTGTGTGTGTGTGTGTGTGTGTGTGTGTGTGTGTGTGTGTGTGTGTGTGTGTACACTCACCTATTTGTACTCACCTATTTGTGCCTGCAGGATCGAGATCTAGCTCTTGGACCCCGCTTTTCCAGCTGTTGGCTATCTAATGTCATGGCTCCTGGCCTATATCTCTATCATACTTGCTTTTAGAGCTATGAATGGAGTTAGCCTCTACAACCTGTTCCTTTAGGTCATTCCATTTACCCATTACCCTTACGTTGAAAGAATACTTTCTAACATCTCTATGACACATCTGAGTCTCAAGCTTCCGTCCGTGTCCCCCTCCCCCCTTGTTCTATTGTTATTCATTGCAAACATTTCCTCTTTTTCCACTTTGTCAATCCCTCTAAGTATTTTACACGTCTGTATCATGTCCCCCCCCTTCTCCCTCCTCCTTTCTAACGTCGTCAGGTTTAGTTCCTTCAGTCTGTCTTCGTACATCATCCCTCTCAGTTCTGGGACGAGTCTCGTTGCAAACTTCTGCACTTTTTCGTGCTTCCTTTTGATTTTTTTAAGATGGGGGCTGCACGCTGGAGCGGCATACTCTAAGACTGGCCTCATTTTCATTTCATTTCTTAATTATGCACCCCATACCAATCCCGTGGGCGGTGGTGTAAAGGGTTATAGAGGCACATAATCGGTTCAGGAACTGAACCCTCTAGTTTGTTTAGCTAAGCAAATAACAATCGTTTGACGCCTCACATAGGCGGTATACAGTGATCTAAAAGTCTCCTTATTCAAGTTTCTGAAGAATGTTCTGACTTTACCAGAGTAGAATATGCGGCTGATGTTATTCTATTTATATGAGCCTCTGGAGTTAGGTTACCAGGTTTACCAGGTGTGTGTGTGTGTGTGTGTGTGTGTGTGTGTGTGTGTGTGTGTGTGTGTGTGTGTGTGTGTGTGTGTGTGTGTGTGTGTGTGTGAGAGTAATAAAAGCATACTAATAAAGCTTGGGTTGCTCCCGTAATCATATTCCTGAAAGATGCCTCTCAAGCTTGAGAGGCAAGTTGCAATCACTTTGAAGGCACTGAGAGAATATCTAAGCTGTAAACATCAGCCACAGTGAGAGACTGGACCTAGCTGCAGGGAGAGACAATAGATACACTCCTTACACAGGTTCATGTACAGATACAATAACAACAAATATAAAAAACTAAGAAGCAGATGACCGAAAACTGAAAAAAAGCTTTGGTCCAGGAGCTGGAGCTTAACCATGCGTGCTCACCACTCCCCTCAGCAGAGAATATAGCTTCGTAATGCCCAGATTATACAACAGGTTCAAAGAAAGTACAAGTCCTAAAAACTAACAGAATTACAAGGCGAATCTTGTTTGATTACCGGTGATGTGGCAACCTTGTGCACATGACTGCCGGTTGTAGTCCTCCCGGGACACACACTCAGTGAGCCGGTTGTAGTCCTCCCGGGACACACACTCAG